TAGTGCACTTCGGAATAGTGATTGGTATCTCAAAATGGCTGCATATACAGCAATTGATTGCCTCATCAATCTGTTATTATTAGGAACGAAGAAGGCACAGATAGACACAGTCTCGACAAGTAAATGCTGGATGAGCACGGATAAGTGTGTGTCTGAAAACTTTGGTGTGTCCGAGAAACTTCTGGAAGTGACTCTGCTGTCGAAGGACGTTGTTTGGCTTCGTGATTTGATGAACTGCGCGCTTTTTGAGGGTAGTGCAGTCGCAGTCATGAAGAACAGTATAATTGTTTATGGGAAAGCTGAAGCCTTGAAATTTCCTATCATCAATCAACAATTTCTAGCGGAAATCGTGAAACGCTTTCCAGTGTTCGACGAAAACATAAACAGCGATAGTTTAGATGGAAGGATAAAGTTGCAAAGAAAACGAAAGCGGAGTAGTAGTTAGTTTGGATTTTGTAAAGCACCATTGGCAAATGCGGCTCAGAGATGAAGCTAGGGAAATGTCGTCGACTATTAACGCCATTTTGCCGCCATCAACAAAGTTGTCCTATTCAAGTTCGAGTTACGATAAGATGTGATGTCTGATGATATTCCGCACGTTGGGTTTTGTACAGCTGAGCGAAATGTTTTTAAGAGCTTTGGTTTTTCACGAGAACTTCTGGAACACTTTTTATATTTGATAACATTTAAACATATATTCATTCATAAAATGAAGCGCTCTGATTGCCGATACCAGTATTGGTGTGGGTGTGTGGATACGGGTGTGGGTGTGGGTGCGTGGGTGTGGGTATGAGTAAACAGAATGAGGAGACTCACACCCACACCCAAACAAAACAGTGCCTTCGGTTCAAAGTTGATGAAAATGTTAAAATTTTTCTTGAGTCAACTCACTTTTGGCTTACCATATATATGAACAAAGTTAGGTGGAATGACGACACGTTTTCAGAAAAGCTGCTCAGTCGAGATGGACAGATTTTATTCGATTCATGATATGTTGTGACGCGAGGAGTTTTATGAATTTTGACGCAATCCCTTTTAAGAAATGTTTAGTCCTTAATTTTTTAATGACTCATCCAATATGAACTACAGTCCTGATTTTAAGCGGCTTTAATGTTTCATAATTCGTGATTGGAATATGATAGAGATCCAACATTTTCACAGTAGCTGGAGTTTATACAATTGTATATTGATATAAAATTTGAGCCCTTCATATCCCTTCTTGCGGTCAATAGAGACCTCTCAAAAATGTGTTTTTGATGAAAATTTCCGTATTGTGTGAAGACTGCCTTGCAAAATATAGATTCTAAAATCTTTGGAAATCTATGAGAAGCGGATAACAGGGTAGGTAATTCTATACTTAAAATTTTAATGCTTGATTACATGTCAGGTTGGTCATTATATTTGAATAATCTCCCATGAAGAACATTTAGGTTATCATCTTGGTTCATTCTCTTAAAGTGAGTCTCTAAGAAAAAAAAATTCAACTTTATATGAGTTTCCTTTTGAAGACCGAAAAAATCATCATTACAACAATACTCATTGTCAAAATCGACACATTATAAGTAGTTTTCTGTGTGAAAATCCTAAATTTCCAGAGATTTGAAGAATCTATTTCCAATTTCGAGGTCGAGTCAAGACGCATCTGAAAGAGCATTCTGAAAAACATACTTTTCTGTTATTTTTGCATAATAGAAACATTCAGAGCTAAACCTAGAAAGCTTGAAATTTCTCCAAGTGGTAAAAACTCTATTGTCTTCTGACCACCTAATTGATTCTTTGCTCATTTTCATCAAATAAGTGTGTTTATTTTGAAAATCGCATGCAACATGTTATCGAGAATGCTCTGTCAGATAGCGGAGAAAACCAAAAGCTCCGTATTTAGTTGTACTTCAAGGAGACATTCAAGCTACTTTCTAGAGCTTCTTAAATATTTCAAGCCTACTATCAACCTATGTGTTACGAGCATATTAGATTGAGTTCACTTTATATAAGTCTGTCTAATACTAAAAACCAAACACTTCATTGTATTGCAAGATTTGATGAAATGCAAGCAAATATTTGATGTTTAGTGTCAGACAGACTTATATAAAATGAACTTCAACTAATATGCTCACGATACATGTTGTATCTAGATTGGACATAGATAAGCAAATGAAAAGCACAATTTTGGCATACCCTTGGAGTACGGTGAAGTTCAGAATATTCACTTTTTCTTCCTTGAGAGAACTTCATTGTCTATATGACCGATGATGATGCGACCAAAAATCAATGTCTAGAAAAACCTGCTCAACCGCTAAAGACATCTGGAAAACTCCTTCGTAATCTTTCAATAGGTCAGAAGAACATGAGCATGTTTTATGCGGTCTTTGCAGCAAGCTGAAAAAGTTGTGATAAAGTTTTTCGTCACACACTTCAACATTTAGTGGAAATGGTCTTTCACAAAAGCACTATAAATAGTGAAGCAGAAGTCTTAGACAATTTCTGTAGTTATTCACAGGTAGATATGACTAATCTAAGGATTAGTTTGACTTTTTTTAGGATGAAAAATGTGAAAAACAACATATGTTGGTCTACCAGCCGATCCAGTCTGCTTTCACTGGTTTAGACTATTATCGATGGGGAGAAAACTCTACCGATTACAATACTGGTCTAAACTCATCACTGTATTCTCAATTTGCAAAATAGAATATACTTTTTCGTTCTATATAAAGCCAATATTTTTACTTTATGTCTTGAGATCCTTTGTCAGCAAATTTGAAAGGTATCCATGTAAAATAACATTATACACCAGTTAAAAAAACCGAGAACTCATTGGTTATTTAGATTATTTCGGGTTAAAACAGATTTGAAATCGTGCAAAAATAATTATTTTCAATCAATTTCGAGTGATTCCAAGCGGTAGAGTTTTCATCCAGTTTTGTTTGCATTATAGTGGTTGCAAGCGATTTCTTTTTGATTTTTAAATCAATTTTACTCGCAAGTGATCAAAATAATCAATGAAATTTCAGTATCTTTGATTATTTTTTGAATGTAATCGATTTAGAATCAATTTATTGCATCAGCTTTTTTTAGGAGTGGAAGCAGAGAATGCCTTAATACTTAGATTACAACGTTATAGAATATTTGTATTGACATGCAAAAAAAAATCATGCTGGTTTTTTGCTTAAATATATATAGAAAAGAGATCAAAAATATATAATCGACGACTCTGCATACGATTGAAGAAAAAATACTGCAATCTCCTCTAGATTCATATTCAAAAACTACAAACTACATTGTATGAAGATTGAAAAGAATGTCTTTACGTTGCAGATGAACGTGCTTACCAAATCGATTTGAAAGATATAAATAACAAGTGCAAAACAGTATAGATGAGAAGCATGCGTCACAGCTGATTGCATAAATCAGTGGGTGATATTGCATGCTTTTAAAATCGGGTAACAAACCATTAATGAGAGTCCTCTTACATAGCTGTGTATGTGAGTTGAAGACATTGTTTGCCCATTATGAAAACGGGAGTCCGGAATTTCGGCCCAAGAATTTTTCGTCCCAAACTTTTGGCCCGGTCCAAAATTCCGGTGATTTTTCGGCCCGGACCGAAAATCCGAAAGAAACCTCGATCCAGTTCTTAATTTAATTAATTAATTATTAATTAGTAAACTTCATAGTGCTGAGCACCATGACTTTTCAAAAAATCATTCTGCTCAGCACTATGCCATACTGCTTAGCAAGACGATTTACTGAATATTCGTACTGGTTAGCAAGATAATTTATTTAATATTCATACTGCTCAGCACCATTTCATATTGCTCAGCACTACGTCATACTGTTTAGCAAGATGATTTATTGAATATTCATACTGCTCAGCACTATGGCATACTGCTCAGCAGAATGATTTTTTGAAATGTCATGGTGCTCAGCACTATGAAGTTTACTAATTAATAATTAATTAATTAAATTTATTTAAGAACTGGACCAAGATTCCTATCGGACTTTCGGTCTGGACCAAAAAATCACCGGGAATTTTGGACCGGGCCGAAAAGTTTGGGACGAAAAATTCTTGGGCCGAAATTCATGTAACCCCACCCTTACAGTCAATATTCTAAATGTGAACACAGGTAACAGTAGATTTGAGTATTTTTCTGAAATATGTGCTCCTTGATGCTTGTGTATTGTCGTACAATAGCTAAAAAGCAGATCTTGTATTTTTATTGTAGAATATGTTACATTATCCAAATGTTTTTACCTCTGAATCTAGAAAATGAAGCATCTTTGAAAGTGAATTTCATCATCAGATTAGTTTAAATTTTTTTTTACATAGTTATTATGAAAATTAAAATTAAAATTAGGCAGAAATGGTTTTATGCTTTCGGAAATAAAAAAAACGTCATTTATTACTTCAATCAACGTGTAGGAGAAATAGGTGAAGGTGGTACCAATGTTCCTGAACTAGCTGTACAGATGTAACTAGGTGGGTAATCAAAACAAACATTTCCTGTTGAACCATCAAAATCACCTGAAATGCCATCAAAAGTTTCACAATTGAGACCAAATTTATGGCCACGAAGATGGTTGTTTATCAATATCAATCTACCACCTCATATACTCACACCGGCACGATCATTGTCATATACTCTACTTGTACGTAATTCTATCGGTTCCTTGTTCTTCATTGCTACAAACCCATCGCCATAGGTACTGTCCGATTTCGGACGTGCATTTCTAATCAAACTATCACGAACAATAACGGCATATGAATTGGAAATGAAAACATTTGCTAGTCTATTATTGTCAAATGTGCTTTCGGCTATTGTCAATGGACCACCCAGCGTATCAAAGATAATGAGACCACCATTTTCATTATTTCGACAGACAATATTGTAGAAAACGCAAGTACCACTTAGTTCGCGTATGATAAATCCATTTCCACTATCTAAAAGAAAAATATCTTGAATAGTTGTGGTTAGATCCTCCATAAGACCTCTTATATCAATAGAAAATCACTGTGCTCGATTAATAATAACTCCAACGAAGGACATGTGAGTAAATCGATTGATCACACCATTTCCAATATCTCTAAAGGTACAATTGAAAATTTCGATCTTGCCAGGAGGTTCTTCTTGATCATTACGAGAACCACTAATACCAGTGGCATTTCTTCCCGTAAAAAGTATACCTTTGACTTGACCACCACCACCACCACTTCGATATAGAATAGCAATGTTATTATGCAACGGTTGAAATTCAACAATTTGATCCAAGTTTTGAGCAATTATAGAAACAAATTTGTTTTCAATAACCAGTGACTCTGTGTAGACACCGGACTTAGTCAATATTGTTGTAGGATTTACAGCAGAGTTAATTATTTGTTGTAATTTTAGTTGATTGTCAGATGACGGATAAACGATGATAGTATCATCACTCCTGAGAGTCAAAAATAAAGTGAAATAAAATTGAAGAGAAATAGTGAAATCTGCATCTAAAATGGATGTGAGAATAAATGAGTCTGACTATGTATGGATATATGGTAGAAAATGAGACAAACTATCGTCAATATTCACTAAGAGAATGCTCATGCAAGTGAGAACAAATGACACGGTGTGATATCTACAAGAGATATACATTGATCAAAAAACATCCTTACAGTTTAAAAAAAGCACTAATTTCATGCATTTCTGATTTAGTCGCACAATTCGATGATAATATTAATACACTGGAGATAGAATTCATGGATTAAAAATAAGCAATGTTTTGACTCTGTGCAAAAAATTGATCGTTTGAGCGGTAGACATCTGTAAAAACCAAGACAGTGATGAAAATAGAGGTTGCATTCGACGAAATTCCTTCTTATCATATTGCTCGTTGAAAATTGACCACATGATCCTAGCAAAATGATTAGCCATAACCAGTATTATACTAAAGGGAGGGATACAGATTTATGGAAAAAGAAGAGGAAGAACTGTCATGGTAGAGATAATACTAGCAAAAGAATTGATACCGCTATTAGGTAAGATCGAAAGAGGTAGAACAATAATACGCGAAGCCAGAGCAGTAGAAAGTTGTGTTCATTTTATTCTTTATCTTCTTGATGAATAATCTGATCAGAGAATCAATAATATCTGCTTAACGACTTGAATATTGTTGTAGAAAAAGAGGCATCATTGATTTGAAAAGTTTTCGAGGAAAGTTAACAGTGAATATTAGAGTCACGGTTGATTTCTAGAATGAAAATGTTGACGATAACAACTTCTACTTGACTATTGATAAAGAATTTGAAGGCACAAAAATGTTTCATTCAAAATAAAATCTTATCGTGAGCCTCAGAATATTTCAATTTTTTTTATATCCATGAAGTAGACTCATATTCAATTTTTTTAATGTACGCTCTTTCATTCCGTAAAATCACAAATTTTTGTTTATGAAAAGGTCACAATCATATGTACATATTCTCTAAATAACTAATTAATCTTCTCTTACACATAATTTTCCTTTGCTAGATGTGTATCAAATTTTATGTTGATGCGATGGAGAAAGTAGTAAAATGTGAGACAAAATGCAACAACAAATGAAAAAGTACAATCTTCGTGCATAGATTAGAAGCTTAATTGACTTCTAATTTGTTTTGCACGACAAAATTTTGAGAATGATCTCCTATTGCGCCCAAGTATTTTTTCTTTTATAGCTATGCTTTCATTACGTTTCAAGTATAGAAATACTGAACAATCGATAAAGCGATTATTTCAAGTTTTGTGACCAGTTTCAGGATACCCATAATAGGTTCGATAGAATCCAAAGTGAACTACCAGTTTTATTCCGGTCCCATATTATTAAATAAACAAAGTAATGAGTTCTTTTCACTACTTTTCACATTCGTACACTCATTTATCCTATTAAAGCCTAAGATCTGATCTATCCGCTCTGAGCTAGTGGATCAGATTAATTCAGGCGAAGTGTTTTGGACTGATCAGTTTAAAGAAATAAGAGATAATGTGTTCTTGTGATCTTTTTTAGGTCTATTGCATGCATATACTATGGATGAAAGGGTTTAAAACTTGTGGATTCTCGAAAGAGATTCTTGTTATATATCAAAGACAATATGTTTTACACTACTACTATACCTTGCTTCACTGTACTACATTATCTTCCACTCCACTCTACATTTTTTGATCATTGAATGAGTCTATTTTATTATCACTCGTCCATGACAGATAATTACTCATGTCGTAAATATAGATAAAACGTTTTTCAAGATGTATGATTTCAACAAAAAGAATATTTTTAGAGTAAATAAAACTGGCTTTACTTTATATCATTCATTATCATGACTCTACACGATGGTTTATTATCTGCACGTGTATTTGATTGCCAGTTGAATCGAAAACGATGCAAAAACGAGCACAAACCAATCCGGTGTACAGGTGCGAGTGAAGAACGCTTGCTGTATTTCTATATTTATTTCAAACGTAATATTCGATAGAGAGAGCGGACGTAAAGAAAAAACAAATAAAAGTAAATAATTTATTACTAATTCTCTCAACTAGGATTGATACAGTAGTTCGAGCTAGGCGAATTCGGAATAACAATGTCAACGAACTTCATATCAAGCTAGAAAGCATAGAAAGACTCAAATTTTCATGAATTTTCAACCTCAAAATCTTTTTGAAATCTTTTCATAGTCATTTGATTTTATCGTGTCTTTTCAGTTCTTCGTTTTGTTTTGATTTAATTTAGTTTTAAGTGAATGTTGTACTTCTATATTTAATCAGCCTGGTTTCATAAAAAAATGATATTTCTTCAGACATAGAAGTTACAATAACTTAATGTATTGTAGCTCTCTGAGAAACGTTGATAATTCTATAGTTATTTTGAATTCTCTCTGCCTAAGTAATGAATTGGTTAATTTAATATACTACCATTTATATTTATTTGAAATAATGTGACATTTCGTTGTAGTTTATAATTTCTTCAAACATAAGTATAATCAATACGAAACACACTTACATATAAAATTGTACATTTTAGAGCTCATTTTTTTTATACATACAGGGAGTCCAAAAAGTATTCGCACACCTACTTACTGTTATCGTCAGTAGATGGTCTTCACGTCATAGTAGATTCTCGATAAAAAATACACAGTTTTGATTATCATCTCGTCTTACGTCAAGCGTTCTTGTGAAAATCTCTGATTTTTAAGTACGTCCAGAGTAAAACTCCTCTAATTTTAATACAAAGATGCTCGTGTTTTCGATATCAAAATTATATCATGTGCATAACAGTAGAACGAGCAAAGTGAACTCTACTCATTGACATGATTGTAAAGGAAAAAAAACAACTTCCCTAATGTAAACTATTTTGAAAGAAAATCGTTCCCTTGAGCATACTTACTACTATGATATAAGTGGAAAATGGGCATTTTTCTTTCAAACTAGTTTTGAAATATATTGTCAAAGAGCGCATCAAAAGCTGCATAAAATCAGCTCATTGAAAAGATTATACTGCTAAAAAAAGTTAAAAAAGGAGTCTGATATTCAAACACTACTATTATATACAGTTCGTGAAAGAATGCACGTCTTCTTTCATAGAAAAGTTATTGAAAGACAAATGAAAGTTTTTGTTATTCTTCACAATCATGTCAATTGATAGAGCTTGCTTTGCTCATTATACTGTTGTGCACATGATATACTTTGAATATCGGAAACACGAGCTCTTTTGTATTAAAAGTAGAAAAATCTTACTCTGGACGTACTTAAACATCAGAGATTTTCATGAGAAAGCTTTCCGTAAGTCGAAATGATAATCAAAGTTGTGTATTTTTATCAAAAATCTACTATGACGTTGAGACTATCTACTGACGACAATAGTAAGTAGGTGTTCGAGTACTGTTTTGGACTATCTGTATATATATATATATATATATACATCTGTTCTGAAATGTATAGTTTAATATTTTCTATCATCATGTGTGAAGAAGTTATACACTTCAATGAAATCTCACATTATTTCAAATAAGTGTAAATGATAGCATATTAAATTAGTGAATTCATCGCTTAAGAGGACAGTTAGAAATGACTACAGGCTGACTTAATGTGGTTTCAGTTTTCTGATCTTCGACATAGTATCTCTTTAGGTTTTCATATATAGATCATTCACAGTATGCCTAACAACCATCTATTATTAACATCAGTTTTGGCAAAAGGTGTTCGAAAAAAGTTGCTATAGTAGAAATCACTTCTTTTATGAAATATTTTTCTTCCTGTAAATCTTAACAGCTCTTTTCGCTTTCGTATATAAGAGCTAATCATATCTTTCTATTCGAACTTTTGGAGCGTAACGCATGTTTCAGTTCCGCGTCTACATAAACAATAGTTTTCGGTGTGTTTCGAACGATACTTTTTTTTTGATTCAAACAATGTTCAATATCGTGTATTTTTTTGAATGTTTATGATTATCCTCGCATCTCTCATATGTCGGTCTATTCCTTCTATGATTTAATCTGAACTTATTCTAGACAATGCTATTTGTACATGAAAACAATCATTGAAATTGAATAAAATCAAACAATTTTAATTGCACCGTACTGATGATCTCTTCGATTATCTAAATTACAAACAAAAAAAAAATTATAAAAGGTGTCATCTTGTGATTATGCATTATTTGAATTTTTGGAAGTTGCTTCCACTTTCTCTTAATAGAAGTATAGCCTATACATTGCAAATGAATATATAATAGAAAAAATTTAATTCAATATAAACTAAATATATATAGCATACATCTATCTAACATTGTATAAAGAGATTTATCTTATCAATAATCTGAACGTGTAGAATTATTTATAATTTAATATTATACTAATATATAGAAGTTTACATTTCTTAGAAATGAAAACTCAAAAGAATCTTGTGGATAGTTTTTTTTCCAATTGAATGAATACTTTTATCAAGAATGCTGTTTGAATAAACCTAGATAGAAATGAAATCGAATAGACATACATTGTATAATTAAAAGATCAAAATCAAAAATCATTTACTGTTTTTTTTTTGTTGCTATCATCAAATGCTTGATGACTACTAACGTCATCTATTGATGTTTCTTGTGATTAGTCAATATGCATAGATTGTTTACGACGACATACGAGTCATACTGGCAGTATAAAAAAAAAACAACAAACAAAATAAATTTTATTTGCTGTACAAAGTGAAAATCTTCGGTAAGTAAAAATATTCTAGCTTTCTCTTTAGAATATTTCATTTGAACTACAAATGTTTTATTTTTCTTCTAAAAAAAAACGTTTTTTTTTTATTATTTTCATCGATATTAAACATAATTATATCGTTGTTTCTTAAATTTTTCCCATAGTAGTTGTAAATACATTTGCTAAAGGTCCAAGCATATGAACAATATTATTTAGTGTTCTTGGATACCAATGAATACCATTTTGAGGCATGTCATTTTTATTGGCAATACCAAATATTTGTTTAGCATGATGAAACAAACGTAAAGGTGCCATAGCCATATGTCCTAAATTATGATGATAAATGGACGAATAACATGATGAACTAACATTATTAACAATCAAGGTTCCGTATTGAGTTATAGGTGTTGCATAGCCTTGTTTGAGTTGAACATCAATTGAACGAATAGATGATGATTCTAAATGACCATTTTTTCCAATAACATAAAGATTATGTAATTTAGGATTAACATAACGTGCTTGAATATATGTTCCATTTCCAATAAATATAAGATGATCTGATGTTAAAGATATATGATGACCTGTTTCAGTTGTAAATGTATAAAAAAAAGCTACAAAAAAAAAATTGAACAAATAAATTTTTTGTTCTTTTTTTTTGTATTATTTTACTTTGAGAATTATTTTCATAATGTAAAAATGAAATAATATCTGTTGAAACAATTTGATCATGATAATCAATTGCAAGTACTTGATCACCAACTTTAAGATTTTTAATAGGAATTTTATTACCCATTGGAGTTTGTGCCATATCAGTTAAAGAAAAACAATTTGGCTTTGCTAAACAATATAAAAACAAAAAATTCTAATTTTTTTAAATTAAATCTAGAACATAAAAAAAAGAAAACTTACTAATAAATGGACATTCTTCATTCATTTTTTCCTCTTTATTTACACAACATTTTTGTGAAAGTTCAATTAATTCAGAAAGAGATCCACGTACGAACTATATAATTAGATAGCAAAAATCAATATTCGAATTTAAAAATCATTTCTTACATCTTCACCAAAACATCCTCTTGTTTTTGTTTTAAGACATTCCATAAAACGTTCAGCCATAGTACAAAATCCTCGTATATTACCTTTTGTTGCTTGAACTAAACCAACAGCATCAATAGCAACACAACTAAGAATTGTTGTTGGATCGGCTACATACATAAAAAAGAAAATATATATTAAAATTTATTTAAAAAAAAAATTTTATCTACCTTCAACAGGACAATTCGAAGTAGCTGATGCTATTAATTTGAATAGACACAATATAAGTATAGTCAAATAAAGAACATGATGATTGTACATGATTGTAGTTTGAATAAAGAATGAATGAACTAAATTGTTCTTCTCCTTTTTATATAGTTGATGATAATCATTATAAAAAGAAAAAAAAAAAAAAAATTTTAAATCCGTATTGATCCAACTGTTGTCATGTTTGTTTGCGTCTTTATATTTGTTCAATTGACTATCTTGAAAATACATGTACATTTTTAAGTCTGGATAAAGCTTTGTCTTTACTACTATTAGTGTATTATTATTATTATTATCATCATGTAATCAAGACAATGTGTTCGATTACGAAAGCATACATTTATTCAACTGTCTAAGCTTGTCTCTTTACATAATCTTTTTTGTTTTTTTAGATTTTTTTTTCCAACAATTATGTTAATTTTAGCATCACTTGGTAGTTGGTTACCTTTTGCAATTGTTGGTTTGGTATTTTTAATTGAATAAATTAGTTTTTTTTTTTGTTTGACTATTTTTTTTTTGTTAGTTCATTATATTCTTTTCAATTATATTTATATTACGTTATCAACAAAAACAAAATCGAGATTATTTAATTACATTAGTTTGTTCAACATCATTGATTATTGCTTTATTAACATCAAGTTTATTACCTACTGATGTTATTCTTGTATCATTTATGAAATATCCAAATGGAACATTTAAAGTAGAAAAATAAAATACATAAGAGAATTAAGTATTAAAAAACAAAAAAATTTTTTTTCTTAGGAATGGACAACAAATCAAACAACTCGAGATCATATTCAAAAATATGTGGAAATTGGATATTATGGTATGTTAATTATTATTAAATTGTTTTTCATAAGTTCTTATTAGAATACTCTATTAATCTTTTTTTGTCGAAATATAAAAAACAAAAGTAATGCAATGATTTTCATTGATAGATTTCTGTTAAAAAAATGTTGTAATAAATTCAACTTCGAGTAAGATTTTAGATAAGCTGCTCAGCTCTGCTTATGATCTTTTGATTTTGTTTTTATAGTGTTTTTAACATTACCAATGATAGAGTCTAAAGGAAGAAAGTGTTGATTACAAGTAATTTTTATAAAGAAAGATGTTAAAGCATAACATCACGAATACAATTAATCGGCATTATGAGAAATGATTTTTCAGAATCGAATTACATTACTATGTAAGAAGAATGTTATAGATTATTTGATAATGCATCAGTATCGATATCTTTATATTCAATAGGATCTTTGTGTTTTTTTTGTTCAAATCTAAAATCATAGAAATATTTTAAGTTATCTTCGAAATTTAATTGTTAGTTTAATATTCGATACGAAAAGATTTATTTCAGTTCTATTATTAATCTAAATTGATTACTTTTGTGAAATTTGATCTAAAAGAAATTTTGAAGTATAAAAGTTTATATAATCACAGATAGAATAAAACAATCTTTTTTTGTGGTTAACAAAGAGCAGCTATATTATGTTTTGTATTTTGATTGTGCTAATAACTTTTTGACTATGACTGTTGTTCGAATTCAATTTTCTTATATATTATCGACATATAAACTACAACAATTTCTCATTGTTGAACGGATGTTCGGTATGTATTTAATTTATATTGAAGTAAAAGTTTTTTTTGTTTTTCCGAATGTTCTATTGAATAAATAAATATAATTTATTTGTATTCTAGTTCTATATGGTCTTATTATTCTGATGGCGTTTCTTATTAATCCATTTCTCTTTTTTTATTATGAAGAAAAAGACGAACAAATAGAAACATCAAAAGTATGAAGAAAAAAAAAATCATATATTTATATGATTTTGTTTATTTTTTAGAGGATACGTTCAGCAATTAAATGGACAATTGGTTTTTTAATTTTTCTTATTATTTTAATTATACTTGGGTATATTATTTCATTTGAATATTTGATTTTAATTGTTTTTTTTTATTCTTTTAGAATATTTGTTCCTCAATTAGCAACATTACCATCAGATAATTCAACAAGTGAATGGGATCATGTGAAATATCTTATCGATCACTTTGATAGTTCAAGTAAATAATAAAAATATATTATGAATAGTTTTGTTTTGTTTTAAATACAAAAAAAATTTAAAAAAATCTTATAGGAGTTGAAGATTCAATTTCATTTGCAATATTTACTTTAAGTATTATTGGATTTATTCTTTTAACAATCTATACAGTAAATAATTACAATTAAATTAATATTCGTATGAAAGTTTATTTATTTAGGGTTACGGTTCAATTGCTTGTCCAATATCATTAATTCGTGGTAAACGAAGTGCACGTTTACAACAAGCAACTATTGAAGAACAACGTATTGAAATACAAAATCAAATACGAATATTAAAAACTCGAGTATATAAATAAATTGTGAAACACAATCTAAAATGAGCATTGAAACATAGAAGTAGAAAGACGATTTCAAAATGAGACATATCTAAGTTAATAGAGAAAGATTTTTTTTCTATCTAATAGTATATACATAGTTAAATTCTACTGCATACTGTTAAGATGTCAGTCAAAAGCACTATGTTTTAACTTTTCACTGGTACGAAATAGACCTTCATAATACAGACAACATTAATATAGAGGAAGGTATCATTAAGAAACTTGAATATATGCTGTTCGTGGGTTAAAATCTTACAGTAGCCTTGGTACTCTTCCACTGTTGACAGTATATCAATCATGTTTCATTAGAATACATAAATTCGAAATGTTTATCGATTGGACTGTTCCGAAGAAAGTCGGATAGGATGATAAGAATTCTTATTATTTTAACTTTCTATGAGTACAGTACATATTAACATATTCATCAAAGAAAACAAATATTTAAAAATATGAACTTGTAGACTTTCATCAACATTAGGTTAACATATCCAGGGATGCGATTAATAAATAGAAAATAGAGTTGGGTACAGTACCGTTCTGCTCTGTGCCTAACGCTGTTCGGAAGGAGTAAAGTAAAAAAATTGCTTGAACAAATATATGTCGAAATAGATGGAATAAAATACACTTCCTGTCATTAACAACAGTAGTTACATCGTGATTCGTATATTCATCTGATAGAAATTGTGCTAATAGCTTTTATTTATTACTATTCTTTAGTATCCACGTCATGTTCCAATGCCAGCTAATGAAAAACGTAAATTAGCTGAACTTGAACAACAAGATGCAGCTTTATGTCGAAATGAAGAATCAATAATAATTGTTCGACAAAGTTTTTGTTTTAAATGTCGTTATATATATCGACCAATACAAATTATTCTTGGTGGTTTTTTATGTTTCCTTGCTATACTTATATTTATTTCACTTTTATTAAGTAATATTAATAAATGTATTAATTTTGTAAATTTTAAACAAATATTTGCACAAGGCAATCAAACATTACCAAATCCTATTGATCTTGTTTTAATATGGACTGGAAAAGTACGATTATAAAAATAATAGTTTTATTAATTAAATAAATATTATTTCTTGTTTTCTTTCTTTCTTTTTTTAGTTTTATCCAATCAGTTATATTTTTCTATCGGGTTTAATGGTTTATATTATATTAACATCTCTTTATGGTTTACAACAAATTGGTATTTGGTATTTTTGTATTCGAGTAAATTAATAATTCGATATTTAATTTATTGATATTTATTTTTATTTTTTTTAAAGATGTATCGATTTTCTCGTGGAAGAACTAAACCACAAGCTATATTAATGCTTTGTTCATTATTAATGTTTATTGTTGTTGCAATTAATGTATTTGTATATCTTCTTATACCTCAATATGCAATTTATGGTGATCAACATTATTCATCAATTAATAATGTATGTCAATATTGATTTATTCTATTTGAATAATAAAACTAGAGATCACCATGAATTACAAATGTCAGATATTGATAATAAGAAATTTCAATCATTCGACTATTTGTGTATTTATAAACATCTCATTTTTCGTACGATTAGATATTTTCCAGCAGTGGTCGGGTTCTAAGAGTTCAGAACTCTTCAAGAACAATGAACTCTAAAAATCACGACACCCTGCAAATACTCCGTATCGTCGAACTGCTATAACCCTAGGAACTCGTACAACTCTTGGAACCCTTAGAACTCTTAGAACTCTTGGAGTCCTTCGAATCCTAGAAACTCTTACAACCTTAGGAACTACTAGAGCTCTTGGAACCGTAGGAACTCTTAGAACGCTAGGAGCTCTTACAACCCTTGGAACTCTTATAACTCTTGGAACCCTTATAACTCTTGGGGTCCTTCGAACCCCAGAAACTCTTACAACCCTAGGGACTCCTAGAACTCTTGGAACCATAGGAACTCTTAGCATTCTTGGAACTCTTAGAACGCTTGGAACTCTTACAACTCTTAAAACTCTTGGGTGTGGGTGTGAGTCCGGATATCTATATTTCATTGATACCCACACCCACAGCGACCCATCCACTGCATCCACACCTTCACCCACACGCACACCCTAGGATTCTAAGGGTTCCAAGAGTTTTTAGACTTCTAAGTGTTCTAGCAGTTCCAACAGCTGTACTAAGTCCGAAATCTCTATGAGGGGGCGATTTAAAGAGTTCAGGGTTCTTGAAGAGTTCTAAACACCTGGAATCCGGACACGTCTCATATTTTCAGTATGCAGATATATGGAGACAGTTGTAATTATGAAGGCAGACAAAGTATTAGTAATATTTTCAGTATTAATATATTCTAGGAATCTTTTCGAGGAATAATTGGAATTTATTTATCGAAAGGGTATAATACATTTAAACTGTACCATAAGAGAATTATAGTCTACGAGGATTAGCGTTTGCACTTATGTTGGTACTTGTCATCGGTTCAATTTCTTCCGTTTGATGATAAGTTATACAGTGGGATTTTGAAGTGAAATCCCACATGTTGTTGGATTGATGATACTGGGATCTGCACATAGTATCTTGTGAATATGTGTCTAAAAATGTAGCAACTCAACAGTAATAAGTAGTTAGAGGACTCTTCTCGTAAGTTAGTTTTTACTCATGTTTTAAGTAACAGTCTAATAGTGATAAACTGATTTCTTTGTTTTAATCGAGATGTTAATCTTGAATATATTTAGAACGGAACGATTATTGTTGAACCATGTACACAATTTGTAACAACAGGTAAAACTTATATTTAATTAAAAATATGTCCAAACATAAGTATTTTTTTCAGATCAATGTCAAATGACTGTAATGGGTCGTATTATACTCCGATTTTTCTATAAAGTTTGGTTTTTTGGCGCAATCTATTTTTGTCTTAGTTGGTTATTTCTTCTTGTAAGTATTACCGCATATATATCTCATTGTTATTAATCTCTAATTATATATATATATTTTTTCTTTTTGTAGATCTTTGCCGGTAGTTTTATATTGAAATTAATTCGTAATCGTGAATCAAATATTCATGAATATACTGTTGAAAGTGTATTAGAAAACGATGATGAAAATGAAGATGAACCATTAATTGAATAAAATAATACGCAACATATAAAGAACTGTATCTATTTTTTCTTACCTCATTTATTTATCTCGATTCAATCGATTGTACTATTACTGATCCATGTATATATACATATTTGTATGTGTATGTTTATCTTATTTTATTTTTTTCAAATATTAAAATACTAACCAAGCAAATATTATTTTTTTTAATTTTACAGTTAACATTCGGTCTCGTTGTATTGCATAGAGTGGGCTATATCTAAGCGAATCTCTTCTAAGTTTGAATAAGTAAAAAAAATGAAATTTTTATGAATTTTAACTAAAAACATCAATCCGTAATTCATTAATTACTTTTGACTCAAGAAAAAAATTCGAAATCAATAGATTATTACTGTTGAGATACTGCATTTTGACAATATTATTTTAGTTACCACGGTGATATTCATCAAGAGCACTGACTTATTATAAAAGGCACGATTTTACTCTATGTATATCTTAGAATAGAGCTAAATGAAAAAATTTGAAACTTAAACAATGTACTGCCTTCGTTAAGATTTATCTTTATGAATAAAGTTCGAAAATTAGTTTTCTTAAGAAGGACTTAATATTAAAAAAAAAATACAACATAATACAGATGGGCTCGACTTAAAAGTAATTAATCCGTTGAAAGATTGTTTCTGTAAGCTCAAAAAATCATGATTGTTTATTTTCATCTAGAGATGTCTAGTGTTCGACTAGAATGACAAATATTCAAGTTGTATTAGAAAATCATAATGAAGATGTATGATCTAGAATGATGATGATATGTCTTTTTTTTTCATTAGATTAAAAGAAAAGAATCTTACTAAAGTAATTTAGTGATCTATTGTTTTATTTATATTCATCAGATTACAATATTATTCTTGGATTTATATTTATATATTTTTGTTTTTTTCAGATGTCGAATGATTTTACACCTTTAAAATTAGATGAAAGTCAATTATTTGAATTAGTTCGTCTATCAAATATAACAATTGATGAACGTATGTTTAAAATAATTCTTGAATTACTAAAATTAAATATTAAACCAGAAGCCATCATTCAAGTATTAAAAGTCTTAGCAAAACAAGGATTACCATCAACATCATCTTAAAAAAATTTTTTTTTTAATGTTTATTTGTTTGTTAATCTTTTTCTTCTTTTTCTTCTTATGTTAATATTCATAACAACAAAAAAAGGAAACACATAGTTAGAAAAAAAATATAATTTTAGATTAGTTATTATGACAGTTTCTCGTTTGCACAATCTTCGTTCATCATCATCATTATTAACAAGCCATATTACAAATTCAATCAATAAATACTGTTTGAAAATAGAACAAATACTACTCTAGATTTAAATATGTGTGATACATTTTATGTAACACCTGCTAGTGAACTTGAAAAACTTGAAGATTGGAAAAAACCATTAGCATTTCAAGCAGCACATCATCATGAAAATTTAAATGTTCCTGATTCAGTTGAAGTTGAATGGCGATTACGTGATCGAGTATGAATTGAAAAAATAAATTCAATTAATTGATATATTTCTTGTGTGTTTTGTTTTTTTTTTCTTTCTAATAGATGAAAACAGTTAGTGTTGCATTAGTCATGTGCCTTCATATAGGTGTTGATCCACCAGATGTAGTAAAATCAAATCCATGTTCAAAACTTGAATGTTGGATTGGTAAATACTTTTCATAGAAATTTTTTCTAAAATATTAAATGAAAATTCTCTTTTTTTTTGTAGATCCATTTTCAATGACACCTCGACGAGCTCTTGAAACTATAGCTGCTGAATTACAACGTCAATATGAACGATGGCAATCAAAAGCTAGATATAAATCAAGTCTTGATCCAACACAAGAAGATATTAAAAAATTATGTATGACTTTACGACGTAATGCTAGAGTATGTATATAAATTGAAAATATTGGATTACTATCTACTTGAATGTTTACAGTAATCTGTAGATGTTTTTTTTTCTTTATTCATAATTCAACAAATATTTTTATTTAAAGCAATTTTCATAAGATAGAAATAACAACAATTCTAATTGATAAAGGTGTGATGAACTTATAGCAACACTGTTATTCATTGCACAATACAATATACTCTACTGTTTTTTTTGAATAATTTTTGATAGGAATATCATAGAGAACTGCGGTTATCACCATTCAAGAGAGAAAACTCGAAACCATTGAAATGTATCGAAATGCTATTGCTTTGAACCCGGTTATAAGTATAAGATCATTACTAAGTTTTTGATATGATAGTTTACTTTTATCATAAGACATTCGGACCAATCAAGAAACTAACTAATTCGTTATTAGGCTTATCGGGAAGTTTGCACAAGATATTTCGAACTACATTCATAGAACTCTTTACTTTCATCATCGTGTAAAACATACATTTTTAACGGGATTTACATAAACTTTTTCCAATCGCTTCATTTGATCTGCGAGAAGGAAAAAAATGTTTTCACTAGCATGTTTTATACATGCTGAAAAACGATAAAACATTACTAAAACAGTTAATGAAGATATTGAAGTAAAAAGAACGGATCTTATTATAAATCTACGCTTTACACAATGCTGTAAGTAAAATACTTCACGATTGCAGTTCGGAATCTATTGCACGAACTTTCCGAACAATCTGTAAACTTAATTATAGTTGAACTGGCACGTTTGTTGATGATTGATAAGCAAGTAATCCGTACTCTTATATCTCTAATCTATATGGCAATATAATTGTTAAAGATATACTGAAAAATTTCATTCATTATTTGTTTATAATTTTTCATCAGTTATATTACTTTTATTCTATTGGAATTTTCAAAGACAATGATTTATATCGAAAGCAAAAATATCAACAATTCATCTTCTGTTCTCGTTGATAATTAGAATAAATCATCCATACTATGTTTAGATTTACTGCACGAATTATACTCTTCAACTTTTACATCATTTGATTTATCTAGGAGGAACGTATTCTATTTCACTATAATGGTCATGGTGTACCACGTCCAACAGCTAACGGAGAAATTTGGGTATTTAATAAAAATTTTACACAATATATACCATTATCTCTATATGATTTACAAAAATGGATGAGTTCACCATCAATTTATGTATTTGATTGTTCTCATGCCGGTGTTGTTCTTAATTTATTTGTTAAATTTGCTGAACAAATTGATAAAGAACTTGAAGAAGCTCGACGAAATATAGTGCAAAGTACTTTCCCTACTTCTACGTCTACTCATACAACATCTCAAATAGCACCACTTCTCCCAACATCTTCACCTATACATGATATTTTACTTGGTGCTTGTAGTGAAAATGAACTTTTACCTATGAATCCCGAATTACCAGCTGATTTATTTACATCTTGTTTAACAACACCTATTAGAATAGCATTACGTTGGTATGTTTTACAAAAAAATATAAGTCGTCTTAATCCACATATTGATCAAGAGATGATTGATAAAATACCTGGTACAGTCACTGATCGAAAATCAATGTTAGGTGAATTAAATTGGATATTTACTGCTGTAACAGATACAATTGCATGGAATTCATTACCAAAAGATACATTTCAACGTTTATTTCGACAAGATCTATTAGTTGCTTCACTTTTTCGAAATTTTCTTCTTGCTGAAAGAATTATGCGTTCATATGGTTGTCATGTTTGTTCTCGACCAGCATTACCACCTATGTTTGAACATCGATTATGGTTGGTGAATTTCGATTGATTTTTTTTTTCTTCTAATGCGTTAAAATATAGTTTGAAGATTTTCTTTAAATTTAATTTAATTGAGATGTTTTCGAAGTATAAAATTCTTTACATCTATACAAAATAACAGGACAGAATAATTAACTATGAAGTAAATTCGAAATTATTATTCGAATAAAAATAATTACTTAGGTGAAAACAAACACAAATTTGAAAAGTTTGGCGACTAAGTTTATTATTGCCTTCCTATGATGAGCGAAGGTTCCCAGATGTGACTTGCTAATCTAATTAATGTTTTACCGATACGTAAATTCTAACAAAGTTAGTCAAAGCGTATAAGGCATCGTTCAATGCGCTGTTCTTTCTAAACTATTGCAGTTTTACCAAATTTTTTACGTCTGGTAATGTATTGAGGGCAAATCGATACAAAGAATTTTAATCTAAAGTTTAGCCTATATGTAACTCTTGTAGACCTTAGCATGCCCTGAAAATTACAGCCTAAAGGAGTAAGTGGGTATCGGTGTGGGTATAGTTCTTCTCCGAACACACCCACCC